ATAAAATTATCAAATTGACTAAAGAATAATCCAAAAATGAAGGGTAATAAAAGATTTTACAAATCAGTCATTTTGAGTAAAGACTATTAATACTAACAACTGGAGTAGAGAACAACCACATTAAAGTAAAAAGAAAAAATGCAATCATGAAGAATTAGTTTACGACACTAAACTAAAATACAGAGGGTCTTCGTGGATTGAGGTTTAAGTTTCCCAATAGTGGAATAAAACAAACACATTACAACACGGAATTTTCCCCCAAATGAATGTGAACTAAAGCTTTTAAGAGAATTTAGTCTAGAAAAACATAAGAAAGTTTTGTAATTGCTATGAGCACTGTAAATTTTTAATTTGCTGATTAGAAAAGATTGCTGAAAAGAGAATCATACGCTGGGTCAGAGAGAAAGGCATGTCAGCTTCGTACATTATCCTAAAGGGACCCGTTTTCTCCACAGAAAGGAGCAGGCGTCCTCCACAGCTTCATACCAAGCTTTGTTGTGGCCATTTGTCTTGGACACGAATCGTCCTTGCCACTGGAAAAATGCAGTTAGCATTCCATGGACCAACAAAAATGTTGCATAAAGTATCCAGGATTAATATCCAAGAAGGCCTACAAGTTAGAACTCTCTTAACCAGAGGCATCTATTCTTCCTTAGTCTCCGAAATTCCCAACAGACGATGTGAGCACAATCGCCAAGGTGCAGAGACTCCGGTGTAAGAATGCATATTCACGGGGCCTGAGCGATGGTACTGCAGGGAGGGCACTTGCCTTGCATGCGGCCAACACAGGTTTGATCCCCAGCATCCCATATGGTCCCCCAAGCACTGCCAGGAGCGATTCCTGAGTGCAGAGCCAGGAGTCACCCCTGGGCATCTCTGGGTGTGACCAGAAAGGAAAAAAAAAGAATGTATATTCACAATATTGAAAAAGATAAACCAGGGCTGAACAAATACCCCACACTCAAAAGAGGGCTCAAGTTCTATACTGCACGGGTGAATATTAAGAGTTACTGCTATGGGGATAGGATGAAACTGTTCTTAAGCAGAACTGAGACTTGACTGGTAAAGAGCTCTTCCCAAGTCCTAAGTCCATGAACAACACATAACATTAATGGTTAAGGGAGAAGGTTAAAGGAGCTATGCCAGTGAGTAAGAGGTGAGGACAAGAAGTATGGTGCCGCCAGCAGGTCAATCTGTACCTGCGAGGCGAGTGCACCAGCAGCCTGATGGCGCCTTCAGACTTCCAGATACCTCAAAATTGCCGCTGGGCCTTTGGCCAGACCCCCAAAACTTGGGACAAAGTTTACCAAGAAAGTACACGGCCAAAAGTTAGGTATGTGGGAGACACACCCACAAACCACCTCCAGCTCAGCTAGATAATTGGAGGCAAGGCCTCGCTGGTTCCTGATCAAACTGCTTAACGGCCAGAGACTCAGAAACAAATCTCGAAACCCAGCGGCTTTTGGCAGAAATGCGACTGGACCCCTCAGTAGGTTACTGTCACCAGGCCACCCCAGGGGGGAAGGGTGCTGTCCCTCCTCATGCTCCCCCTTGGTGGCTTGGTGGCCGCCATCCGCCAAAGGCCACTGGACATTCAGGTTTGGGCCCTCAGTGACGAGTCATGCGGATGGGGGTTGGGGGTGGAGCCGGCCCTTTCCCACACATCCCAAAGAGACTCTGAGTTGCCGCCCACCAATGGCCTCTCTGGCTCCTGATCAAGGTGCTTAACAGTAATGATCCCAGAGACTCAGAAACAAATTCTGAACCCAGCGGCTTTTGGCAGAAATGTGTCATATCCCTGCAGTAGGTTATTGTCGCTGGGTCACCTGAGGTGGGAATAAGTTTCATGCCTGAAAAGTCAGGCTTGGGCCCACAGTGACGACTCACGTGGGGCCTCATGGAATGGGGGTGAAGCCGGCCATCCCCAGTCCCAACAAGACCCCAAGTCATCACCCACGAATGGCCTCTCTGGCTCCTGATCAAGCTGCTTAACGGCCATGATCCCAGAGACCCAGAAACAAATCTCAAAACCCAGCGGCTTTTGGCAGAAATGCGTCCGGACCACGCAGTAGGTTACTGTCGCCAGGCCACCCCGGGGGAAGAAATGGTAGTGTCCCTCCACCTGCTCCCGCCTGGCAGCCCAGTGGCCGGCATCCTCCAGAGGCCATTGGACAGTCAGATTTGGGCCCTCAGTGACAAGACATGCGGGGCCTCACAGTATGGGGGTGGAGCCGGTCCAGTCCTCCCCACCACAACGAGACCCAAGTCATCGCCCACGAACGGCCTCTCTGGCTCCTGATCAGGCTGCTCGACTGCCATGATCCCAGAGACTGAGGAACGAATCTCAGAACGCAGCAGGTTTTGGCAGAAATCCCTCCAGATTTAATTGTTGAAAATTTGGAACTTCAAAACTGACATCATATGTTATTCATAACCAGCAATAGAAAACAAATTGTCTACTGTTGCCTTTTTGGCAGATCCTAGTGTTGGGATAAAATCCCAAATAATAATGGTGGGTCAGGTGTCAAAATACTGAATTTGATCAAAGTAGAGAGAGAGTAATGTGGAGGTGATCTGCCCCACAGGTATGGGGAGGGATTGGGATGGGGGTATACTGGGGTTTTTAGTAGTGGAGATGGGCACTGGTGAAGGGACGGGTGTTTCATTGTAGAATGAAATGTACAATGTAGAAGTCTTTCAAGACTCAAACCTGAAAGCTTTGTAACTGCTCTAATTCAATAAATAAAATTATAAAAAATGAAGAAAAAAAAAGCAAGGTTCATGCCCATTCAATCAGCCTAATTAGTGGCTGAATAGCAGAACTTCTACGTTTAAAAAAAAAAAAAGAGGTGACTACAAGAAGAAGAACCTGAAACCAGACATCAGGACGTGAATCGCATAAACATCCTGGGCCAGGCAGCAGAGACATGGGCTTAAACAGCTCCAGTATGACTCAATCCCATGCAATGACAACACTCTGGCACCAAAAACACAGAAATCATGTTTCTATAGCCTGCTTGGTCAAGCAAGGAGACAGTTTAAACTGACACCACCCTCAGGCTAGCCCATAGGGAAGGCTGCCTGGAGACAGAAGTCACTGTGAACCTTGGCTTCAAACAACAGCTCAGCACCTTCAAGAGCAGAGAACACACTTCCTTTATAGCAACAATGGAAAGAATATGGAGAAACTTCATCTAAGGTCCTATGGACTGAACTATTTTTTCATTAAAAAAAAAAGGTAGGCCCCTGATTAAAATGAAAGACAACAAAGTCTAGACAGAAACTAGCAGGTTTCAAGGTTGAAAGTTATTCTGAGTAAACTCTGATTGGACCCATGTCATCCAAAAATCATAAAACAGTTTTTACAAAGTGGTCAATTACATAATGCGCTTTTCTATTTGAAACATTCAATTATACACTGATGTCCTTGTACACCACTGGCGCAGAGTAACTGATCAGCTAATGTTTTGTATGATAAATGATCTAGTCAGAATAACTGTTCTTCCCTTACCAAACAAATCGTAAACCTACAAACCATTTCAGTAGAGAGCACACGCTTCCCCCCCATCCCCAGAGCTCTTTCAAAATTGTATCAGAGGTCCAGGGAAGATAGCTTAAGGAGGCTGAATGAAGCACATGAGCCCTGGGTTTGAGCCCCCACCCCAGGAACACTGCATGGTCCCCTGAACATGACCAGAGCAGCTCCAACACCCCCTCACTTAAAAAAAAAAAAAAAGATGTATCACAATGACACAATCACGCAGATTCTGCACTGACAATCAGACGGAGAGGAGTTAGAGACAGCGGATTCTCATATGTAACTCCCACAGTAACACAGGGGTCAACCCGTATGGTCACAGAGGTCCACAAAATCACAACTAAATTCTCATTCTAGGGCTGGAGAGATTACACAGCAGATAGGGTATTTGCGTACATGTGGTCAAACTGGGTTCAGTCACTGGCATCCTGGATAGTCCCGAGCACCACCAGGAGTGATTTCTGAGTGCAGAACCAGGAATAACCCCTGAGCACCACCAGGTGTGGCCCCCAACAGAAACAAAACAAAGAAACAGAAATTAATAAATTCTTAGTCTATCTTCTCTCAGCTGGTTCCAGTAGGATGTTTTATTCTTCACCGTAACAGAGGGGGGAAATTTCTATTAATATAATTTTGGTAAAAATACATATGGCTGGAGACATAGCACAGGTTATGCCACTATATATGGTCCCACAATACTATCAAGAATAAGCCGTAGGTACTTCTGGGTGTGGCCACCCCCTAGACATACACTAAGTGTGCCTACATGTGCTCTGTGAGCCTACAAACCAAATACAGGCACCGTTGTTCAAACCTGCAATGCAGAACTTCATTTGGGAGAATCCTAAACTGAAGTTTTTAATCAAAGTTGGGCCAGAGAGAGAGTACAGGAGTAAAGGCCTTGCCCGGCTCCCGGCTAATTGCAGGACGATCCCTGGGACCATATATGGATGATTCCCCAAGTCACCCGAGACACACCAAGAATGGCTGGAGCGGAGATCCAGGCGTGTCCCCCAGCATTGCCGAGTACGACACCAGGACGAAAACAAAACCAGAATAAAACTAGGATAAAGTCTATGACCTGTTTGTTTTTAACACCAAACATCTGAAACAAATGAAAAACAGAAACACCTCATGAGATCAGGAAAGGCAAGATTAGCTCAATTCTTGCTTCCTACATAGCCACGGGGAGCTTCATGACAGCCAGCAAGGGGTGTGCTGAGGTGAGTTAAGGTACTCAGAGCATTAGATTCTGAGATAGAGACAAGCAAATGTTCTGTACAGGTTTCACCATCTGACCACATTCTGGGGGAAAAGCTTCTGGAGGTCTAAACTCGCGAGTTCCTCCCTCCCTCCCTCTTACCACGAACAGTGCTGTTCCATTGGATGTCCTGTCCGAAGCAGTTCACCCCTTCCCACAGCTCACAAGGAAACCCCCCAAAACCACATCCTCGGTACTTACATTCAAAGCATTCTTTGCAGCTTCTGCTTCTGAGCGACTGTCAAAACTGACAAAACCTACGGGCTGAGGAAAGAAAAAGAAATGTGAAGTAAACAAACAACCAGGGAGTGCGGGGCTCAAAGGTGACGTCAGACAGAAGGACTCAGGGATGACAGGCAGGAGTAGAAAAAGGAGCACAATGACCCAGTGGTAAACCGCAGTCCTCTTTTCCCAGGGTGACCAGTATCATAAAAACATCTCCACCTCAAGCCCCAGAGGATGCCTTTGAAAGTCCTGAGCCAGAGAGAACTCAAAACGAGCTCCCTATACCAGTGGCCCAGAGACCCAGCGATCAGTCCCCGAGCACCACTGGCTGTCACCTTGTCCCCACACCCTCTCAAAAGATCTGTGTAACTGGGCTAGGCAAACACATTTCATTCACGGAAATAGAACTTTGTAAACTCCATCTTTCAGTCCAGGCAGGTACTCCCAGCCTAGGCACAATCTGAGTGAGAAGAGGAAACACTCAGTGTTCAGCACAGGAATAAAAAGGGACATGGCTCAACGTTTTCAAGAAACTTGCAAGAACTAGGAGAAGCATCCATGACACCTCCATCCGAGACCTGGGACTCTGCCCGTGGTTACCAGCGACTAAAAAGACAGCCCCTATTCCCATAAAATGTTTCTACTGACTGTAAAAATGTTGTTCCTATTTAATCTTATTCCTAAACACCAAGGAAAGGGAATAAAAGTCAATCACAGCCATTTATTTTTAAATATATACATGCCAAGGTAACTCTGATCAAAGGAGTACTTTGCCCTCCTTCAGGGGCGATGTGGTTTGGTGTGTGTGTGTGTGTGTGTGTGTGTGTGTGTGTGTGTGTTTGTGTGGTGGGGGTGAAGTGGGGGAGAGGGGTTAAAAGGTAGTCCCAGACATATGAGCTGGAGAGGATGAAATTATGGACCATTTTCCTATTTATGCCTGCTCAATTCACCCTTAATTTTAAAGGAACGACAAAATCAGATCTTAATGGCTATATTTAAAAAATAAATAAAAGGTGTCATCCACCCCAGAAAGATGCCTTAAGAATGAAGATTCAAACTCACTGTAGACAATCATTCAAACACAAGCTTCAAATTCTTACCTGCTTAGATGTAAGCTTTATAAGAGAACCCTCGTATCCCTGCAAAGAAAGAAACGAATTAAGACCACAAATACTGGGAAAAAAGCAATTGTTGCTACAATTAAATAGAGGAAAAGTCCCTTCTGATTTAACTGGAAAGTAGGTTGTCTCATTCTCCTTTCCTCTCTCCCCGGGTACATAAACAATCACACACTCAGTACATGCCTAATCTTGGTATGCCTAGTTCCTGAAATTCAAGCACTAGTCACTTATGTGCTTCTTTGCCTCATCATCATTTGCATTATGTAATAGTGAAAAAATAGGTGTCTGTCAGGACTTTTTTCTTTCAGGAGTTTTTTTCCCCATGTTATAAAACTTGGAGAAAAGAACCAAGCTAGGGGTCACGCTATGTTGATGATACCAATATGCTATAAAATAAAAGAAACATGAAAAATGGAGCAGACAGAACTCAATCAAAATTCCAAACCCACGGGAAACTTGAAGCAGGCAGGGATAACACAAAAGGAGCAAAATCATACTTCCTCACAGACAGAGTTGGAGGCGTACGAGGGTGGGAGAGAAAAGGCCACGCCCAGGATTTACTCCCAGTTCTGTGCTCAGGGTTCACTCCTGGCAGCGCTCAGGAGACAATATGTGGCATCAGAGATTGAACCAAGCAAAGCTGGCCACATGCAAGGTGCAGCTTAACCAGACGTATGAGCTGGAGATGATGAAATTAGAGACCATTTCCCTGTTTATCCCTAACTCAATTCTCTCTCCAGTCTGAGCAGCAGTCAGCTATCACACTGATCTCCTGACAGGAACATGGAAATACTTCAATACCTTCCTGCCTCCTCAGAAGGGTTCCTTTCTGGAAACAACCTGCAGCTGGGGCTCAGAGGGGTCCCTAACTAGGGGCCCGGACAACTGCACTCCAGGGAGTTTAATTACAGGAGACTGTGAGGAATGCACCAGGGTCCTGACTTTTGCGTCGGGGTGTCTGGCAAGATGTTGAGACTGCTTGTCCTCCTGTCTCCCGAACAGACAACTATGTGACCAATTAGCCACTGTAAACAGTTGGATCTCCAAGGCCTTGAGCATCTCTGGCCAGACCAGTGGCCCGAGGAGTCCCAGCCCTGCTGCTGCCTCTTTCAAGGTGCTCTCACTCAAACCCTGAGGGTCAGAAACCTGTGGGCGGCAGAGGAAAAGGACGAATGGCTACTGAGTAGAGTGGGGCGCCACTAGAGGGACAGACTGTGGGGACCAGAGCTGGGTGTTCCACACTAACTCCCAATGGGTAAGGCAGCCTCCGACTCCCCGAAGACAGACCCTGGTCCAGCTGGCTATTCTGTGTAGAGATCTGCGTAAAATGGCATTTACTGTTGCAAGTTCCAGTTTCTTCTTTTACAAAACCAAGTTAATGATCTTTAAACGATTGTGGTGAGAATTTATGTGCCAGGCTTGCTGGCAGAATCACTTTCTCTTTACACTTGAGGTCCACTAAGAACATTGGGAGGAGAGGGAGAAGGGGGGAGGGGGTGTGCGACGGTGCTCGAGAGAGTAAGTCGAGTTTGCCGGGCGATGTGGCCAACCTGGTTTGACCACCAGCACCCCCATGTGGTCCCCTGAGCCCTGCCAGGAGTGACCCCTGAATACTGCTGGGTGTGGCCCCCAAAGAATATCATTTAGGGGGATAGAGATGTCTGAAACGGTAGAATACAAGCCTTGCACACACAATCTGGGTCTGATTCCCAGCCCTGTATGAGTCCTGAGCACCACTGGAGACCCCACCAACGCATATACCCCCCAAATTTAGCAAGACCAACAAGTGCGTAAGATTCGCATCCTGCAAAGGGACAGAGTAAAATATGCCCTCCCGCAGAAGAACTGAGAACATTTCTATGGAGTTTTCTGAACTCTGGGCACCCTCGCAGGATCCTCTTTCTCACTTCCCCTCAGCTGATCTGGAGTTGAAGTGCCCCGGGTCCCCCTGCACTGTCACCATCACCACTGCTCTCACGGGGGTGGTGCTCAGGACAGTCCCATTCATTACGATGGGGTGGCTCTGGACACCTAAGCTACAGCTTTGCCTTGCATGCCTGAAGGGCCAGTCCCTCCACTCCCCCACCCTCCTTTCCCCCAGCTGCTCACCTGTCACACCCTATACCTCTCTAGGCAGCTCGGTCTGTCACTTCAGACTGTCTGCTCCTGGCCCTGGGTCCCGCCACAGCAGGGAATCATCTTTAACTAGGAGTCCAGGTGGTTTGTCTCGACCCCAGTGATGCTGTGGACATATGTGGACCGATGGCTCGGACCCGGCCTGCTTGAATGACCTGAGCCCTACACGCTCTCTCCCAAGGGCCCACGCCCCGGCTCTCTCCTGTCCGCTCAGGCTCACCTTCACCATTTGTTCTTCTGGCACATGGTTATCACAGCGTTGGCTTAAATTCTGGTTATGTTTCTGGCGCCAGCAACGTGACATACCTCCAAAGGGACTTAACTCAGTAATCCCAATGCATTTGCTCGAGCGGGCCCAATGCAATAAACATTTCATTAAGCACCAGGGATGGTCCCCTTCACTCCTACGAAGCAATTCTTTAAAACCTTGTCTTATTTGAAATCTAGGACAATTTTCCTATGAAAAATAAAGATTCTTCTATACCTATTTAACTGCTTTCTCCAAAGAATCAATTATATCACATTACTTCAATGAATAGGAACCTTTTTAAGGGTAGGATCTAACAATATGGTATTTGATTTATCAGTACATAGTTAAGAGCTAATAAAAAAAATTTTTTTAATGACAGGGGACTCAATTCAATTAGGTTAATCAATTACTGAATAAATAGCAGTACTCCATATTTTAAAAAAAAAGAGAGACGAGGGACTACCCCAGCTGTTCTCTGGGCTTACTCCGAGCACTCTGCACTCAGCGATCACTCCTGGCGGGGCTCGGGTACCAAGGATCAAACCCAGGTGAGCTGCATGCAAAGCAAGTGCTTGCCTGCCTGCTGGACTATCAACTGTGGCCCGAGCTTCACCTGTGAACCTTTTTGTGTTTTTTAAAAAACAGATACTTTATAAGGTGCTTTCTTCAAAGTTGTTATTTCTTCCTCCCAAAAGTCCCCCTCAAAACTCTGGCCTCCTTTACCATTTCTCGAAAATAGAAAAAGCTACCTTAAATGGTCTGAAAAGCAGATAGAGCTCCCGAGGCTTGATGTCGAAGGGAAGACCACTGACAAACAGAGTCCGGACCTGGAAGGCAAACAGGAGAAGTGGTTAAGGGTGGACAGCCGAAGGAATACAAATCGCAGGAAACCACAAACCCCAAACTCCTCATATGATCCCGTGACACCCACTGAATGCACACTCTCGCTGTGACACAGTGAATATTTTAAAGTACTCAAGTAACGTGTGAGCATTTCTGTGTGGAGCATAGCTCATCTTCCTAGCTAATTTCCATTAAGAAAGTGACTTCTCCTTCCCTGAAGAAACAGTGCCAGTTCTGAAAATGTGAGAGGTAGTATGGGTTCATACAACTGAAATATCAGCTTAAGAGAATGAAATGTCAAAACGAAAATACACCTCACATTCGTCTCCTCTAATTAAACAAATAATGTGGCAGAGATGGTACAGCGGGGAAGGCATTTGTCTTGTATCCAGCTGCAACTGTGGTTAGAATCCCAACATGCTGTGGCGCTAAGCACAACAGCATCAGGACCTGCTCCTCAGCTCTGCCAGGGGTGGCCCAAACACAGTCCCCCAAATAGTTTTCTGTGGCTTCCCTCACAATTATGTTAATAAATGTGAACGCTTCTTAAACAATTCAAATGTCCCTCAACAGTATAGTCCAGGTACACGGATTCTGCATCTGCCTTCTCTCTCCTCTCACCACAGAGGAGGCTGCGCCCTAGACCCGCAGTCTTTCTCTTGTGCTCTATGGCAAGTCCAACAAGAATGAATGCCTGTGGTCAGGGCACAGTCAGGGTCTCGATAAAAGAGACAGTACAGTGACCAGGATGCATGCCTTCAGTGCACGACACACAAGGGGAATGAATGCCCAGCCTCACAGGGTTCACGCAGCATGACCAGGGGCAGCCTCGAAGACCCCAGTAATACCAGAATGGTCCAGACAATCCCCACCAGGGCAGGGCTTAGGGATGTGACACGGCCCACGCCCCATAGCTGAGAACTGAACCAGCAAAAGCCCCTTCATGGTCCCAAAAAGCTAGAACCCTATAAATGTACAATGCTACAAAGCAATGTTTTTTCAATGAAAAGAGATCCCTCAAGAAACCAGTATTTCTCAAGCCCAGGGAAAAAACCACGCACTTAGCATCTACTACAATAATGAACACAGGTGACCTCTCTTTCAGCGTCTACAATAATGAACACGGGTGACCCTCTTTCAGCAGAACATTCGCATGTGGAAACTGATCAGAGGAGAGATGACTGCCGCATCCGTTTCAAAGAAGAGGTGGACACAAGTGTCACCAGCAGGGAAAAGCACCTGCCAGAGCAGAGGAGAGAGTAACGAACAGCAGGGTATTCTGGGGGCAGCTGAGTAAAAACTGAACGGGCAACAGGATTCAACCACAGGGGTTTCCAACATCACCAGCTCCAGAATTTAGTCCGGATTCAACAGGCAAGGCTCAAGCTCTAATCTTCTACCACAATTACTGTCTCTGCCTTTCTGTCTCTACTTATTTCAATATGTATTGTATAATTTTGGTTGAGATGACTAACATATAATAATGCCGTGTCAACTGGAGGTGAAGAGTACCATTTTATATAAACCTATGAATGATCTACGGCCAAACTCAATGCTCTTCGATTAACGATGTGGAAGATTCTCCTTCAGTAATTCATGAATAAGATTTTTCAGAATCCTAACCCTTTCCGTTGAGTCTGGTTGCAATGCAACAAAAATGGCAAAATTCTTTTTACTGATCCAGCTACAGCACATAGTAAAATGTCCCATTATTTACACACAGGTGCTTAATAACACTATGAATGCCGATTTAAACTGCCCCAGAATCATAAATGTCTTCTTTCGTTATTTGTTCATTCACTCATATTACAGATTAAGGTATAACTGACATAAACATTTACATCCTCCAAGTGCTTTATATAAGTGTCAATTTGCTAGGTGTTGACATAAATAACCTGTGAAGTTATCAAAACAATCAAGATAATACCTATTCATGGCTTTCAAAGGCTCCTTTAATCCCCCTCACCACTATCTGACACTTCCTCGTGCCTGGGCAATCCCTGATCTGTGTTGTCACTACAAATCAGTATGTGATGCAATGAAAGGAGCCCTAGACTTCTGCACCACTTACTTTGGCTCATTTCACTCCAGCATGACTGAGATTCAGTCAGTCAATAACCTAGTCCATTATCAATAACCCAGCCCATTCTGTTACTGAGTTCCACAAATATACAACAATTTTACCTATTTGCTTGTTGGTGGGAAATACGGCTTATTCATGTTTCTGGCTTCTACAAATATAAAAGTTAAGAATATTCATTACAAGCCATTGTGGTTTCTTTCCTTTCTTTTTCGCTTTCTGGGTCACTCAGCTGTGCTCAGGACTAACTCCCGGTTCTGTATTCAGGGATGGATCCTGGCAGAGCTCAGGGGACCATGTGGGGTGCCAGGGATCAAACCCGGTCAGCCAAGTGCAGAGCAAGCTCCCTACTTGCTGTACTGCTGCTCGGGCCCCACCACTGTGATTCCCTTCTTCTTACATTGCTATGATGGATCAGAGGGATAGGACGGTAAAGAGATGTTTAAAAACACAACCACACTGCCAGGCAGAACCTTCTCTTCTAGCCCAGAACATGATCAATGTTCTGTGGGTGGCTTAAAGCAACAGAGAATTCTGTTGTGGCTGGGTACGGATTGTTTTACATAAATGCGAATTAGGTTCAATTTGCTATTCGATCCTTCTTTTGCCTCCCATCCCAACATTGTTTGTCAGAAAGGAAAGTTTCCTCTGAGGAAGTCTTTCTGAGTTAAAAATCAATGTCAGCAGTACAGACACTAGCTAAAGAGACACAGATCCCGAGGGAATCCTGCTAACCAGCGTGCCTGCCTTCCCTCCTGAGCAGCCAAAACCCTCCTCCCTTCTCCCAGAAAGTGAACACCATCTGCTGTTCTACCTGGGGCAGTCCAGGCAAGAGGAGAGTCGCCAGCTCCCATCCATTCAGATTTGCGGAGTACCCATCCCATTTCATGTCTGACACTATGCCAGTATTGAAATAAATGGACAAGGCATCCCTGGCAATAAAGATAGGCAGATCTTCTGTCTTAAAGATCATTCACCCACTAAAGAAGCTTAGCTTGGAGAAGCAGGGCCGGAGAGACAGAAGAATGTTAAGGCACGCAAACGGTCCCTGGAGCACAGCAGCGCTAGAAGTAAGCCCTGAGCACCACTAGACCACTGAGTGTGGCTCGACACCCCCCCCCCACACACACACACCCTCGCCGCTGCCCATGGAGGCATGAGGGCGAGGGAGATCATTCAAACAGCTGAAACATGCTTTGCACGCAGAATACCCAGGTTCAGTCTCTGGAGTAACAATGGTCCTTCGAGCACTGCAATGAAGGGAGAGATAACAGAGCAGACACACACGGACATGGGGACTAGGGGGCCAACAGCCCAGGGCAGGTCTAGCCCAAAAGGGTGGGCTAGGGGTGGGGGGTGGTGCGCCTGAAGAGTGAAATTGGAAAAAAAATAATCAAGTCAACTACCATTTATAATATTGTTCAAAAGAAAAGGACTTTATAAACATTGGAGCTAAATAGTTTTCCCAAAAAACCCACTAGGAATTTGGGGGTTATCAACAACAGATTGCTTAATATCAATTAGGGATCCTTAATATCCATAAAATGCAGTATTATGCAACCTACTAAAGCAATGTCTAAGAAAGAAAGTATTTGGAACTCAGTTTAGTTTTATAAAACAGCCAACACATAGAGGAAAAAATGTCTTACAGGATGTTTATGTGGGGCTGGAGCAGTAGCACAGTGGGCAGGGTGTTTGCCTTGCACGCGGCCGACCTGGGTTCGATTCCCAGCATCCCATATGGTCCCCCGAGCACTGCCAGGAGTAATTCCTGAGTGCATGAACCAGGAGAAACCCCTGAGCATCGCCAGGTGTGACCCACAAAGTAAATAAATAAAATAAAATGTTTATGTGCTTTAGTCCTGGACTGTGGAAAAGTTTTAATGATTATTCGTATTTTTCATCTATGTACACATAAGGTTCATTTTGCAAGATTGAGGACTGCCTCCATCGCTTCTTTATGTTGTCATTTGTTTATTTAAAGGAAACATTTCTACTTTTTAAGATAGAACAATAAATTGTATAACTCTTCTGTAAATAAAATTATAAACCATAGATTCTTAGTGTCTCAACAGAAAAATGTCACACGTGTTTTTAAAATGTAACTTATTAGATGTAAATCTGCCGGTAACTCAAATGAGGACAAGACACTCAAAGCAAATGCTTTGTTGGACAAATGGGAGGCAGTTTAAGATGTTGGGCACTTAACTGCTTATGTCTCCTTGATGCCAAAGAAGCCCGGTACTACCTCAGAACCACAGAAGTAATTCCTGAGTGCAGAGCCAGGAGTAACCCCTGTGCTTCTCCAGGTGTGACCCAAAAAGCAAAAACAACAACAACAACAAAAAAAAAAGTCACAAGGAGCAGAGGTAACCTTAGGGAAGGGCCCTGTGAACATGGTGGAGTGATACTGGCATTTTGATGATGTTCATGGTATAGGTAATATGTACCCTGAAAATGTATAAATATGCGTACTCTTCTGAATTAATATTACCTCAATAAATCTTTTAAAGTCATGGTAAAAGGTAAAGGTAAAGGCCCTCCCGTTGATCGTCGATTTGCTCGAGCAGGCCCAGTAACGTCTCCATTGGAGACTTTGTTGTCCAAGTCATGAAGATTAAAAAAAAAAAACTACTCTCTAACATCATGCTTTTCTTCGGTAACAAGGTTGGATAGCCAAGCGGCTACTTAGAAACCATTCCAGTCCCCTGTTCCTACCATCACGCGGGTAGATCTGAGCCATGGAATAGCAAAGCACTGCCAGTTTTGTCTATGAAGATCACAGGAAACTTAGTGACGGAACCAATGTGCACATGAAAAGGAAGAACAAGTAAATAAACCTCACCCAGTGACCAAGAAGTCCAAATGACATGGCACAGGAGCCCACGATCCAATGTGGGGGGC